CCAAAAAAAAAGACGCTCTCAAAGAAGAAATTCCTAAAAAAGTAGGGGTAATTAAATCAATGAACGAAGCAACTGAAAAAATTTTAGATACTAATAATGTGGAAGTTAACAAAAATATTGAAGCTACTAAAGAAAAGAAAGAAAGAACTAAAACTGCTRATGAAGAAATTAAAGTACACGTGGAAGTCGAAAATGCTACTGAAGAACTTGAAAAAACTAAAACTGTTGAAGTACGTGAGGGATCTAAAGCCATTGAAGAAACTGAAACAATCAATGAAGTTGAAAACACTATTGAAAAATTTAATACTACAAAAATAGAAAACGCTTTCAAAAAAGATGATCATCCTATAAATGAAGACACTCTTAACAAAGATGCTAGACCTAAAAGAGAAGATACTCTTAAAAAAGAAGACACTCCTAAAAAAGAACTCGTTCTCAATGAAGAAGACCTCCAAGCCATCCTTGAAATAATTGGGGTAATTCAATCAAAGAACGAAGCAACTGAAGAAATTTTAGATACTAACAAAGTGAAAGTAAACAAAAATATTGAAGCTACTAATGAAAAGATGGAAACCACTAATACTGCCGATGAAGGTATTAAAGAACATGCAAAAGTTGAAAATTCTACTGAACAACTTGAAAAAACTAAAACTGTTAAATCATGCGATGGTTCTAAAGACATTGAAGAAACTGAAACAGTCAAAGAAGTTGAAGGATCTGAAACAGTTGAAAGAAATGAAGACATTGAAGAAACTGAAACAATCAAAGGAGTTGAAGGATCTGAAAAAGATGAAAAAAATGAAGACGTTGAAGAATCTGAAACTGAAAATGTTGAATCCATTGAAGTTTCTGAAGCTGAAGATCATGAAGCTCGAGATCTTGATGCTGAAGACCTTGAAGTTGAAGACCCTGAAGGTGAAGATCTTGAAGCTGAAGATCTTGAAGCTGAAGAACTTGAAGCTGAAGAACTTGAAGGTGAAGATTTTGAAGGTGAAGATTTTGAAGCTGAAGATCTTGAAGCTGAAGAACTTGAAGCTGAAGAACTTGAAGGTGAAGATTTTGAAGGTGAAGATTTTGAAGGTGAAGATTTTGAAGGTGAAGATTTTGACGCATATGATGGAAATCAAGAATATGAAGAAACTGATGTAGATGAAGAAACTGGATCGGATGATTCCTCATATGATGGTGAAGAATGTAGAGAAGTTATGAGAAAGMTAATTGAAATTCATATGAAGATGGACAAAGCTAGAGAAGAAGCTGAAATGGCAGCCAGTATTGAAGGAACAGATGTTACATTTACTGTCCCAGCACCAGTTATACCAGAAATCAATATACCAGATATCATAAGAAACAGAATTGCTTTTGATTTTCATATGGTTATGCACAATAAACGAGTATGTAACAATTTATAAGAGTATAGATTAAATAATTTTATTTTACTGGTTTGTTTCATTTTAGTTTGTAAAATTTAGAAAAGACCTCACTGTCAATCGTCTGATACAAGATTTTGAAAATTCAGATACAGAAGCAAAGTAACTATACTATGAAATCTTTCAGTTCTTTAAATATTATACAGGGTGTAACAGATAGAACTGACTTTTAGAATAACTATTGTTCTAATTAATATTTTTTTTGTTTATTATTAAGAGACCCTAGCGCTACACGTACAATATAAAAAAAATTTCATTTTTATAATAGTACAAATAAAAAAATTTAAATTTGATTAAATTTTTGTTGGTAAAATTCAAAATAGCCAATTTGTAAATTTAATTAAAATTAATATTTTGATGGTAAAAATATTTATCTAAATCAATTAGTTTATTTTTTAGAATTTTTTAAAATATCAATATTTTTTTGCATAAATTACTTTGAAGCGTTATAACTTCTTTCAAATATTATTTTCAATATTATTTCTGAAATGAGTATATTTCTTAAATTACTTATTAATTATATAATTTTCACAATTTTTGATGTACGTTTAATTAGCATAATTTTTTTTTTTTTTTAGTCAGTTCTATTTGATACACCTTGTATTATAATTTTTTTATTTTGTTTTAGTAATTCGTCCATTGGTTTAACGATCATACAGTACTTTAATACTTTTATACATCATCGTTTATTGTATCCACCAGAAAAAATACAACATTTGGATGATAAGGTAATAAAAAATGCAAATTAACATACATTTAAAATTTCAATATTATTTACTGGGCTTACTAGCCAAATTTTCTCCCTGTATATTTCCATTCCCACTAATCGGTGCTGTATAAATAGTGGCTCATAGAAGCCCATTGTAAATACATTGCATCGCTGTGTTCGTTTTATAGTCTATACATTATATTTTATGTCGTGTTTTTTATTATGAACATAAAAAATGTGCCTAAATACTTGTCAAAATATTTATAAGCTACATATAATTATAAGTATTTATAATGTAAATCATTGCTACCTCTAAGTATCCACAAATGTCAAAAATTTCAAATGGCATTCGACGATTGTAGCCGACTGGTATGGTTCGATATATATTAGAGGGGGAACGATGTGCAGCGACCACAGATAGATACTAATACGACAGATTATATAAAATTTTTATATAATAATAGTTTTATATAATCTTTGCTAATACTAGATAGTAGATAGCCATCTTCTCATTATCAGTGAAATAGGCCACCATATACAAAGAATACTACTCGATAAACAAATTTTATCAGATACATAGTCTAATTTATAACTTATTAGACAACGAAAATATGAAATGTTGTTTAAATAAAATAATTATCGTTGGTAAATTAAATTATAACTTAGGCTTGAACTAATATATTTCATTTAACCTAACTTAATAATGCTTTCTTATTATGTATTTTTTAAGATATTTCCTTAGCTTGTAATTCATGAAATATTACAATATAGTTATATCCCTAATTGATGTGTATTCGTATATGTACATACTAAATCGGTAATATTAAGAAATAGTTCTGTCGAATAATATAGAACATATTATTTTATCATATAACAGAGAACCGATGTATAACAAAATGTAGGTATTTCTCATTTTTAAACAATAAAAACAAAATAATAAATCTGTAATATAATATTTTTTATATTGATAATAGTTTAATATTGATAATTTACGTTTTTTTATCGAGTTATCTTCTTTTCAATGGCGCCGCGTTTCTGCTTTTTTTGGTAGTTTATTATACACGGTATGTTCATGATATGAGATGACACTTAATATTTCTTCTGGATGACCTAGGATTGAAATGGGGTTTTCAGGAGGTAATCGGGAGGACCTATATACACATTGTCAGGCAAAATTCAAATCTGTAACTCGTTACACGCATGCGCAATGCAACTTATTGATCCATCGATTTGGAAATATTTGATTTAAATATTGTCGAACAATGATGGGCATTGTGTGCTGGTGCACCATCTTGTTAAAAATAAAGATTTTCCCGTATGGCTAATGAAATGTCTTCAAAATGTATGGTAATGTATTTACAATAAAATCTAAACACCGTCTATCTGTGAGTATTCCGTCATAAAAATAAGGACCTACAGCTTTCCATCAAATATGAAATAATCCACACCACACATTGATCCCCCAAATAGTTTGAAGGTTAGTTTCTCTAGACCAATGGGGATTTGTAGTATCCCAAAATCTATGGTTTTTTTTATTTATTATACCATTATTTGTACATTTTTACTCATCAATCCAATGAATACGATTATAAAATGAACTTTTGATATCTAACTGAACATTAAACCATGCTAAAAACTCCAATTGACGTTCAAAATCACCAATACGTAAATGTTGAACATAATCCGGTTTATACGGATGCATTTTGTATTTTTTWAAAATTGTATGTACTGCGCCGACTTATTTACCWTTACTTCTCGAGATACATGTCTGATTGATGAACGTAGATTTGCACGTATGTAGGAGGCCATACCTGCAATTCAGCGTCTTCATCAAAATTATTTGGTCTAGGCTGTTTTCGTGGTCTTTCATTTCGATTACCAGGAAATTCTTCGTTTTAATTTAATCTATGTAAAAGTCTATATACATAATAATTGTAAAGTGGGTGGTACCTACCAGGATACCGATCTACATAAACTTGAATAACTTGTCGAGAACTACGGTTACATTCACCGAAAGGCGAAGATCAAGATAAGTTCAACTTTTTCAGTGTTATTCATTTTGATAAATTGTTGTAAAGCGCAAGTACAATTACGGAACAAATGTGATAGATTACTAAACCCAAAGACTTCAAGTTAAATTCATTTGAAACAAAACTTGTTTACAATGTATTATAATATAATTACAAATATTTTTTTTTTTGCAGATAATAATTGATGTTGTTAAATTATGACAATAACGTATTATTATACTTGAAAATTATTGTTATAATTCAGTTATAAATTTATTATAAATGAACCAGATTAATAATAACTTACAAGGAATAGGTGAATAATCTACTCTAATGATTATAACTTGAGTAAATGACGATACGAAAATAGATAGCCCAATTATAAAATTAACATTATTAAAGTATTGTCAAAAGCAGATTATTCCTACATAAATATTAAATTTTATCATACTGYAACTTTATAACTTTATAATTCGAAAAAAACTTTGTGAACGAAAATTGTTTGAAAAAAAAATACTCTACCTGAATCCGTATAAAAAATTGGTATTACCATTTAAAAAAAAGTAAATTGTATTGCGCATGCGCGTACCGAGAGTCACAAATTTGAATTTTTCCAGACAATGTGTATTTGAGGTACTCCCTATTACCTTCGAAAACCCTATTTCAATCCAAGGTCATCCAGAAGAAATATTAAGTATCATCTCATATCATGAACATACTGTGTATATTAAAATTCAATACTGTTGCTTATATTTTTCATATGACTTGGGTGCATGTTTTATAAAATCGAATTTTAGAATGCTGAGTTTTAGATGATCAAGTCTTAGAAAATCTATAATATTTAAATCTAGACAAGATATACGTACTTAATACCTATATAAGTGACCGGTTACCTACTTTCCCCAAATTTAATTATTAATTATTGAATTATTTGTTCTGTATCATTGCTAAAAAGCTCAATATTRGCTGGAAACGCCTGTGACCTCATATTCTATAATTATTATTTTTATGTTTATGTTTATAGGCAATTCTATTTTTGAAAAATTATGTGGATGATGGCGTAGAATTCACTTTTAGTGAAATGTTATATCCTCGAAAATTTTGGCATTTGGTGTATGGACCTTCGTATCTAATTCGATTATTTGGTTTGTATAAACATTTAATACTTTTAGTCTTACATTCAAATAAAAACCATAAGAAATATTTTTGGATTTAAATAATAGATACTAAAAATTATTAACATGATATCTACTATAAACATGCATAGGTACACAACACAATTGTATTGGTCTATTAATTATGTTCATTTTCTTTATGAAGGTTCTTACCTTCCTATATAAGTTACAACATTCACCTTGCTGTTACAAGTGTTACATATATATTTTAAAACTAACTTATATATAACCATTATCACTTTTCACCGATACTCTATACCATAATATATAAAATTGATTGTTTATAAATTCGATTGTTTTTAAACAATATTCTTGGCCAAAAACCATGAATTGATATCTGATATAACTAATAATAATTAACAATTCACTAATTACGACAATTAACAATTTATTAACTAAACAATGTACGTAGAGAACTACCTAAACTAAATAATATTAAAATTAAAATCAATAGTAAATAGTTCATACTTACAAAATATATAGGTTGACACTCCAATAACAAGTAACAATGATGATACAATTTAATACGTATACGAACAAATTTCGAAAAATTATAGAAATAGCATAGGTAGAAGATAATTTTACTATAATAGAAGATTTTAATTTGGAATGCTGTTTATCTAATCGAATYACACCATCTATCAATACGTATTATTCATTGGTTGACAACCAGAGGCGTGTCTTTTTCGTGRGGGGGGATTAATATAAAACTTCAATTATACACAAATATTAAGCAATGTTCTTTTACTAAATTTCTTAAAATTGCGGGGGGGAGGTTGAACACCCCCCTCCACAACCCCCTCTCATAGGCACGCCCTGTCAACAACGGATCATTTTTAATTATTATACTATAGCCCGTAGTACACTGATCATTTGTGTTGCAGGATGATGGGTTTTAACTGGTTAAGAGGTCGCCACACCCATATTTGTTTTCTCAGTCTTACAAACGCGTAACATAGCAAATTTACGCTCAGCAGTTCTTGTTTTACTTCATTAGCTTAAAAATTAGAGTGAATAGACGTATTAAGAACTTGATGGTAAGAACATTATCTGTGATTTGTTGGAAGCATTTTTACGATAATTCAGTTTTTAACTTAGTTATAAGCATTTTTATTTTACAATTATACGTACATAACTCTCTTAAAAACTGAATTATCGTAAAAATACTTCCAATAAAACACAAATAATGTTCTCACCATCAAGTTTCATAATAGGTCTATTCACTTTAATTTTTAAACTAACTGCTGAGCGTTAATTTGTATGGTACGGGTTTGTAAGACTGTAAAAAAATACGCGTGTGGCGTCCTCTTAAGAAAGGTGATTGCAGATGTTTCTTTTTCTTTTTATTGTTGATTGGCTAAACATAGTTTAAAGAGATCTAACAATTTTTCCTCGAGGCTCCTACAAAGAAAATCTTGCGCAAAATGAGCAATTTAACAAACGAAATTGCAGGAATGGATTAGAATAAGTGTCATAATATACATACATTCGATATATTACAGCATAATATAGGTACATTAACATTTTATWCTTACTAAAATTAATACATGAAAATGTAATGATCGTTCGAAATAATAATAAAGCCACTCGCAAATACTTAAATATGTTTATATTCCCAATCTAGACAATCTAGTATAGTACACGGTATTACCTTTATATTAAARTGCATTATACCAAACAACAAAATATAAAGCAAATAGTTCAACGTATAAAAACACTTTCGTTTTTTAAACAAATTGCTTATTTACACCATTCATTACATAAATCTGAACAATACGTTTTAATTCTAAACATAATACTATACACTATTGGATTTGRACGGCAAGTATGGATCGTTAAGACAGACCGCACAGTCCAAAATCTTGATAATATAATGACGGATAGTGTGTAATAGTGAAAATGGTCCAAGCACTTGGCATGGTGATCAATACTCACGGTCACAGTGTTTTTATACGAAGTCTTTCATAATGCCTCCTAACTTGACCGATTGGGATGAAATATTTTGTATATTTGAACATTTGGTAGGTGTGAGAATAGATCGTGAAGTTTTTTTCACTCTCCTACCATCATTCGGGAAGGTGCTCATACTTGAATTTTGAGTTTCGGTAGATAGGTATTTTTGTTTATAAATGTTTGTTATTGGTTATGGGAGAAATAATTAGGAAAATGACGAAATTAACATAAATTCTGAATCATATTGAGTTGATATTTTTGACAGGCAAGGAAGTGCACGGGTATTAGCTTGTATTGTATAAGTGTATCTTTGTATAAATATAAATTATGCTTAAAATGTTTATTTACATACAACTTGTAAATTCTAATAATGTGTATTAAATAGGAAATATTACAATGTATAGAAATGTGTATAAAAGTTAATCACACATGATGTAACTTTGAACTTTTTGATAATATATTATTTTAGTATCATAAAGTAGTATGAAATTACTTTTAGATTTATTAAATCTAGTAGTCCCAATTTAAACCAGAGAACAAACAGGTACTAGTTTTTTTCAAAAAACTAATAGTATTAAAAAATATGTTAGTTCATTATATTTTTTTAAAACTAATTTAAAAAATATTCGTAAAAATAAAAATATTTTGAAGAACACGAATATAAATCGATAATAATTGTGAATAATTATAAAAGGGACGTACATATAGGCGCCAATAAGTGGGGGCAAAGTCGATTATGTTTGGTTAATTTGGTACAGCCCCCTCCCCCCCAAAAAATTGATGTCATACTTACACTACATTACAAGTGTCATTAAACTGTCCAATATAAACCCGATCTTCAGTCTTCATTCACCTATAAAACGATATTTTTAGTTGATATGGGCAGGGGATTAGTGGCGCCGAACCTATAACCCAAGAGGGGCGACCGCCCCCCCCTTTTTTGGTGGGTGGAGTCGTAGGGGTCCGTGGATACCCCAACAAACTATTTATGAATTATGTTCTTAACTTCTAACTTCTAAGCCATTAATATATACGAGTATGGACATATGGTATTTGTATACATATGCAGCACTGTAGTAGGCCGTAAGGAATAGTGAATAGGATCATAAGGATAAACAACTAGCCTGAGTTAGTGAGTAAAGTTGGCTGACAATTGATTAATATGAAATAACTTATTAATGACATACGCACTACCTGCATTGGTATTTGGTACTAATAAATAATAATCAAATTATTTTAGTTAATTGTTAAGTTAAAAGTATTTCAGGTATGTTGACATGTAGTCATGTAGATACGTATAAAATACGTTAAACTTGTTTGGCTGTTTAAAAAAACTTGGTAAATTATAAATTAATACATTTGACTTTATATTTGTAATTATATTTACATTTATATTTTAAATCATGAAACTAGTTGTGAACACTCATTAGGAATTATAAAATGAAAATGAAAATAGAGTAAAAATAAGCCTCCCCAAAATATTTGAGCTAGTTACGCACTTGTGCTACTAAATATTGCAGTTAAAAAATTGTAATTTAAAGTTGTTTGAACTATGAATAGTGCTTACTATGTGTGATTGTGGTTGAAAAAGTGGCATCATGAATAATTTAAAAGTATTAGTCTACAAAGTGATTTTAGATTGCTGAATACTTGCATGGGGGGTGTGGGGTGCAAAGCCCCCCACGTTTTTATTTTGTAAACAGGGTTGGTGGTCCATACAACTTTTTACTTGCCCCCCCCCCTTTTAAAATATAGTTCTCCGCCACTGTAGGGGATGTATTACTTTTGACAAAAAAAAAATGTAGAGATAGAAAATGTTAATTATAGAATGTAGAGGGTTAACATCCCATCATTCTCATCCCCTACTTCACCACTTTATACCTCGAAAATAGAAGTGATGAGAAAAGTACCACAGACATTAATTATTCTAGAATAGCACTAGATAAACAATCGTTTTTATAAAAGGAACAAATTACTAACCAAAAATTCAACAAACATTAACATTAAAAAAAAAACACTTGTATGGAGCAGAATAGTGGATAATAATGACAAAAATATAAAAGAAGAAATATAAAAGCTTTTCAAAATACTACTAATATTGCTACTGAACTACTGAAGTAGTTTATTAAAATTTTTATAGTAATAAACTTAAACTATTTTTCATTTTTTCTGAGTAGGTAATACTTTACTTTAGTTTTCCTGATGTAGTAACCGTATTAACTAAAGTGAAAAAATTTTTAMAAATAATAAATAATCCAAGTATTAAAGATGACAGCTTCTGGTTTTCTGAAGGGCTTTTCATTATCTGTATATTGTTATTTTCCATTCACTAGGTACAATAAATATTGCAGTAAATATTACATAAGTTGGTGGACTCCTGTGCAATGGTTATGCAAAAAAATAATTGATAGGTTTCTGAAATTTTTTGTACATAGTCATGTAAAATTATATAATTATATAATATGTTAATTTTCAGTTTTATTTCCTGAAATTGTGGCAAACTATTCTTATTTTGTGTCGGATACAGTTTATCTTGTTAAAAGACTTGAAACATTTATGAAGTAAGTATTTATTTAAAATTATAATAATATACTGTAYAATATGAAATATGAAAAACTATGGTTTATTATTTGAACTTTTTATTCAAGAGTTTACTAAAAAAAAAAACTTACTACCACTAAGGAATTTTTACACATACATTTAAGTAATTTTCTACTAAAACAAAATATTATATTTATTTATTTATTAATTAAAACTATAACAGTAACAACAAGTATAATAAGTAATTTTGATAGTCAATAATGGTTARTGACAGGGGATTATCATCCTTAGGCAGRCAATTGGAATARTTTGACTGTKTAACGTAACTGGTGATAAGTTGAAATTTTTAAGTAAAAGGTTACTTAATAGATTTAAAATTGTTTATTTTAATTTTCAACCAGTTTGCCCGCAAGCTATTATCTAATCATATTTAAATGTTAAATTGGCTGTAATAGAGTTACCATTTTTGTTAGTAGTCAATGTTTATTCAAAATTCAGTTTATATATTGGTGGCTGTTGTTAGAGCCAGTTTAGGCAATATTTTGAAATAATTTATTGATATATATATTTTGTAAACAATTTTTGTTTTCAGGTTTGTTGCAAACAATTTTGATCAATATTTTTCAGAAAAATATATTGATTATTGTAAATGAATAATGAATCTATCATGATATTTTTGATTTATTATAATAATTATAAGTTATGGAATAAAATACATTCACATTCTTTTTTACTACTGTTTTTTTTCTTGATTTACCTATTTTAATTTTATCTTCGTAAAATATTAAACATATTTCAGCCCCTTAAAAAAAACCAATTTCATTAATAAATTATTACAGGTGATGTGCGCATGCCACTTTCTAAGTTTGGAACATGATGTTGCAGGTATTAAYKAGAAGTTGAAATATTTTGTTACCTGTGGACTGTAATTTATTCCAATAATTAGCTTTGCTAAATTAGTTTATTTTGATTTAAAAATTAATTTTAATGTATTATCTAATTAATAAAAAAATCAGTAGTCAAATTATTAATTCACTTTATTAAAACCTATTTTAAATGTACTTGCATATTATGCAGATGTTGTTTTTTTACAAGGTCCAAGTATAAATTTATTTAGTCAATTCTGTGTTCTCAATAAATTTAACGACTTCTAATGTAATACAGTTATAAAACAGCATTCATAAATTATATTTTAAATGATCAATTACTATATGTTAAAAAGATTGGCTATACCGTTGATATAGGTACATTTGATTTTCATTCTTCTGAATAATATTTTATTATAGATTAGTGATATCATTCATACATMTTTTTGATTTTGTAAGCAATTAACAATTATTTTAGATACAAGAAGAAGAAAAAAATTATATTTTTGTGCTGTTTAGTTAAACATATACTGAATGCACTTATAAATAGAGAAGGATGAAGGGTTGTAAAATATTAGAAAATATAAATTGTTATATTTTATTTTTTTTTTTAATTAGTTTCAATAAAAATAAATTTATGATAATTATTCAATTTAACCATGATGGAAAATATACAAATTCATATAAATCGAAGATTCAAATAAGTTGTAATATTATAACATAATAAATAGTAATTTCATTGTGTGTTTTATAAGGTGTAACAGGACTATTTAACAAAGTTTCATTACAAACATTACTATATTTGCCAAATATTACTGTTACACCTTGTAGATCACACAAACACTAGTTACACTACACTAAACTACACTAAACATACACAAATTGATATTCTTGATCAACCAAAAGACTGTTTAGTCCTCTAATTATTTGTATTCAATTGTAATTATTTGTGGTTTTGTTGAGATTGGCTTGACCGTTCTAATTTTTCAAAATGTTTCCGGGCATTTTTTATGTTTAATAAAGTAGCAGCTGAAGGAATATGTGGATCAGACATGATAACCATGATGTATGTATTTGTTGTAAATAAATCTATGAAAGCTGCAAAATTAGAATTTCTTACTTCCATGCTTTGGAATTGAGCAGCTACTTTGCTACAACTAAGTTTAAATTGTTTTATGATGTTGGAAACTTTTTCAAACCGATGAATATCACGTTGTAGATTTCGTTGACAATGTGAAATAACAAGGAAAGTTGCACGTTCAAACAATAATACTTCATCGCCGTCCATTAGATCAGCAAACAATGTCAAGCTTTGTTCAAGTTCTTTAACATTTGGTATCAATTTATACACAATTGAAGACCATGCTCTATATAATGTTTCATCCCAAATTGATGTCTTGAAACAAGAACAGTCGACTGGTTTGGACATGTTAATTATTTCATTTTCCCGGTCAGAAAATATCTTGTCACGTTGATCTTCTTGCAGCAAATCCATTTTATGAATTAGACAAAATACTTTAGCAGATGGAGAATTTTCATAAATTGCACTAAGACAAGTCTCGTAGTATCTCAAATCTCTTTTCAGTTCTTCATCACGACTCTCCACATCGAATACATAAATAAGCACTTCTACATTGCGAAAAATGTTCTCTCGTTGACTGACAAAATAGTTTTCCATGAATGCTTCCTGTCCTCCGCAATCCCATAAGTTAAGCACAAGGTTCCCAAGAAATCTAACATGGGAATGTTCAACGTCAATCGTCGCACCCAATCGACTAGTGTCTTTAGCTATGTAGTTGGCAAAAATTATTGATCTCATACTTGTTTTTCCAGAACCGCTCTTACCCATCAACAAGACCTTTTTCTTCATTTTAAAATCTTCAATACTTGCTAATGATTTTCACGAAACACAGATATTTTTTGCTGGCCGAGACGTAAGTATTATTCCTCCGACCGATTCCCCGGTCGAATGAACGTTTAAAACAAAAAATAAAAGAAATTCTGGCAGTTTCAAAGAAATTTGACAGGTAGTAGTCACTCGACTACAAACAGTTTACGATAATAATTAATAATATAATACGACTAATATACGTAATGAACTAMTTAACTAAAATKTAAAGAGTTAATAATAAAAAATAATATAATTTGAATCGTTGAAAAATCAAATAAGAGTTTACTGCATACTATTTATGATAGGGTTTTGGCATCGTGTTCTGATATTAACTTATGTGATCTGTAGTATTATCACAGAATTGAATTTAATGATCTTATCAAAATTGGTATAATTTTTTTTTTTTCATAAAACATATTGCTCTAATCAGTCTAATCAGTCTAATTGTCTATTCGTATTTCGTATCCTTCGGTTTCGTGGTTTCGTCCTTCATAGTCTTTTTGGCAAAAAAAAGAAATATTATAATTCATAAATCAATAAATCATATTATTCTACCWAATAGTTCATATTGTCTCAACGAGGTCTCGACTGCCGTCCGCCTCTGTGTTGCAGGTAAAAGTATTTTTATTTTTTTTTTAAACCAACTAAATGTATTCAATAATGTTTTCTCAATTAGTATTTTGAAATAACTTAGAAGTTATCATGGCAACTGCAGAGCGTGTAAAACAGGATATGCCTCCAAAAGGTGGCTATCGGAAGATTAATTTTGCTCGAGTGTTTCCTAAACCATTTGCCAGTAGTAAGTAAATATAAATATATTATTGTTATTGTTGCAAACTTTAATGATTTTGCTATAAAATAATTTATAAGTAATATAACACAATCAATTAAAAAAATTGCTACTTTTATTTAATATAAATGGATATTAAATTGTTCCTTGTTACCAATTTTAGATTTCATTATTCTTAAATATTCTTATTCTAAAAACATTTATGAGTTAAAAAAAAAACAGTATCAACCAAACCAAACTTACTGTCTTAGGTTATTAAAACTAGGACTCGGGTGGCAGTATTGTGCTAAACAGTTCCCACCCGTTCCTGGTTTCAAGAAGGAAAAAAAAAAAGGTTATTAAAACTATATTATTCATTACTTACATGCCTATATTCTACATATCCGTCAACACAAGCATTTAATTTTTGATATGGATCTATAATAATTTATTTAACTGATTGTTTGTGTTTAATTATCAATTGATCTGATAATGTTTGTACATTTCAATGGAACAAATCAATAAGAACCTATAAAAACAATACATTGTTGGTTTTATGTTTAAAATTAGTTTTAACGTGATTTATTATCGGTTATATTGATCAAGTATTTGGTACAGAAATTTAGTTTATAGTTCTTGAAAATTACCTATATTCTACCCATTTTTTTTTCTATAATACTTACTAGTTAAATTAATCAAAATTTATTTAATTTTTTGGTCAATTTTTTAATTGCTTTGAGCTTTCTAATTAAATGCCATTTGTATTGATTATATTGTATTMAAATGCGAACCCTAATAATAATACAATTGTCATTATACAAAATAAAGATAATAGAATATATATAAGATATATATATATAAATGTAATTTTATCAGATAATATGATCTCAACCATGAATCATCTCCTAGTCTAATGTAGCTCTGCATGTAGTTCTTTCAACTGCCTTTCAGAAACTGATTGGGACGTTCTTTGACTATGTGTATTACTGATTGTTTTTCATGCTCACAAGTGCAATCTGGTTTAATCAACATTTGTGGAGCATATGCTCGTTCTATTCTTGTGTGTCCTATATAGAGTGTAATAAAATCCAATTTTTTAATTTTTTATATGTCCTTTTTTTAAGTCAAAATGTAACAATCAAATCATTAATGATTGAGCCCTCATTGGCGTTTAAATACATAAATAAATAAACAAATAATAACTAAGTATAAATGTTTTTATTTCAGGTACTTGTTTTACTTTTAATAAATATTTAAAACATTATTTTTTAATGATTTATTTATTTTAATTTTAGGTAGAGCGTTGGTTGGTACATATATAGTTTGTACTGGGGTTGGCTGGTATTTATATCTTTTAAATGACCGACTAGTTGATAAATATCAAGTTGAATCACGCAGTTCCCTTATTGCTATAACACCTCTATTAGATGCTGAAGCTGACAGAGAGTAAGTATTATATATAATATATATTTATATTTTTATATAAATATTTTTAACACTATTATTAATAATTAATATAAATGTCATTACAGGTATCTAAAACAATTAAGAAAAAATCGTGAAACTGAAGAAGAATTGATGAAAAATGTCAAAGGATGGAAAACAGGTACCTTATATGGTGAGCCTATTTACAAGACAGTTGATAAAAAAGAACTCATTGAACCAGGCTTAAATGAGTACTATGTACATGCTCCTGATAAAGTATTGTATGACCGAGTATACTGGCACAAATATCTATAAATAAGTAAGTATTATTATTATCATAAAGAGTTGTACAGTAGAATCTTGGTAAACTGTCATAATAAACCAGGGTACTGCTAGGTTAACGAAAACACCGGATTAATGAGGGTTCACATACAAACATGTTTTTACTTATTAAAGTTTACGTTTTTACATTAAAAAATTAATAACCTTAGTATATTTTACTAAAACATTGCAATATGTGTACATACATACTAATTTATTACATACTGTGTTAAATTAATCTTTTATGGGACAGGCTTAAAAAAATTATCAATTTGTTTTTATTTGAAATTATTCTTTAAAATTTTTTATATTGTATTCTTCAATAGTAATTTTATGGTTATTTGCCTGATAAATATGTGTTGATATAGCTGGATTACTGGATGTGACGAATTATCGAATGRCAGGATTACCGAGATTCTATTGTATTTATTAATTCACGCCAWGTGGATWTTTTAATGTAAAAWGTAGTTTCTAAAATATATAGCTTAATATAAACACATTTTATATAATTTATTTATATAATTTAATATAACAATTATAATAGTTTATTAATTATATTAGGTAAACAAAATGAACGTTGGAATTTAGTATTTTCATAGTTCTGATCAAATAGATTGATATAATATTAAAAGAATTAATTATTAGGGTATATAAGATTGTAAAATA